TGGGGATGGCGCTTTGTCCACTCTAGGTGTCTCATCCAGCCCTGCACCCCCTGGTCGGACTCTCACCTCTGCCCTGGATTGTCCTTCCCTGTGGGGTTGGGGGGTGGCTGGCCTCACTTCCCCACTCCCCCCTCTCCCTGCCATGGTGCTCTCGCCTGTCTTCTGGCTGCTGGCCGTCCCCATGGTGGTTGTGCAGTCCCCCTCACTCACCCCAGGGGTGACCATTGTGGTGGCCATGAGTATGCTGGCCTGCTGGGCTGGGACAGTGGCAGTGGCCTTCTTGTCACGCTCCTGGAGGGGGGTGGTGACAGCCAGATGACCTGGCCTCCCCTTGAACTTCTGCCCCTCACTTCTAGCCTCACCATCATTGTTCCCACCGATGCCAATCTCTGCAGGGACAGTAACATCACCACCAGCAACCTTCCAGGGGCTGGGAGTTGCTGGTCCTTCTCCATCATCAATGGTGGTGGCACCATCTTCATTGTCTCCTGTGGGATGGCCATCTCTGGGGCTGCTGGTGGTGCTTTCCTTATGGCTTGGTGGTTCTGGTTGCTGGTCCTTCAGGCTTCCTGTGAGCAGAGATGCCATCATCGTCATCACCATGTGTCACAGTGATGCCCAGCCTGGGCATTGGGCTGATGGTTCCCACAGTGAGGATGCTGTCATCCTGGCTGCCAACGGTGGCACCAGCCTGGGTGGTTTCCTGCTCCCCGACGTGGATGTTGGCCCTCTCAATGAAGATGTGGACCTCATCATCCTTGTCTGGAGAGATCTGAGTGAAGCTGGTGTCCCTCATTGTGTTGCCCGTCCTCCCACGGGTGATGGTCACACTGCCCGAATCAGGGATGTAAGCATACTCATCCACACCTTTAGCATCAACTTCTACATCTTCCATATTCTCAGTGATGGAGGCCAGAGTGGCACCTCCCATCCCTGTGCCCTGCATGATGCCTTCCTGTCCTTGGCCAGGGATGGTGGTGTCACCGCTACCCTCATCCCCAGCCCTTCCTGTGGCAGGGGTGCTGTCCCTCCCAGCTGTCAGGACCCCTTCCGCTGGAACCCTCCTGGGGGCACCATCATCCCTGTCCTCCCTCCTGACACTGGACCTGTTTCCCGCCACAGCCTCACTGGGGCGTTCACCCTGGGGGAGAACAGAAACACCACCGTCAACCTCAACCACCAAATCCAGATCACCACTGCCCTCTGAGCTGGCCAGGGTGGGACCTGCGATGCCGACACCACCACGCACTCGCGCGCCACTGCCTGGACGAGGACTTTGAGCATCCCTGCCAATGCCTGGGGCGCTGTAGTTTTCAGGCTTGAAGCCTATCCCGTTGTCTGTCACATCAGCACTGCCACTGCCATGTTGCTCCGGGGCTGCCCCATCCTCTGTTGGCCCCCGCCTGGTGTTGTCCTCCTCCAGCCGGTGGCTGGGGATGATGCTCTGGTTGTCAGCCTCTTCCTTCTGTGCAATACACAGAAAACAGAGGTCAGGGATAGCTCCAGCATCTGCCGGCTGTGTGGGGCAACACAGCCACACTGGGGTCCTACTGTGCCACCTCACCACCTCCTCACCTTTATCTGTGTCTGGTTCCGCCGTGCTGAATATGAGTAGACATAGCTGAAAATGTAGAAGCCATGCTTGGCATTGCAGCCTTTCAGCAGTATCTGGTGGGGAAGAAAATAACCCAAACCCACAATTTACTTATTAAATGCAAGAGCAGAAGCTTCCCTTGCTGTATCTGGCACCACAGAAGGGTCCCTGCTGGGGCCCCAGAGTGGGCAGTAGCTCCTACCACTGTGGCCATCAGCATGGGGTGGCCTGGGCAGGATGCATGTGCTCAACTCTTGGGCTTCAGGGCTCGTTTTCTGCCTTGGCTTGCTTTCGAGAGCTGAGGGTTGGGGTTTTTTTGAAAGGTAGCTTACAGCTTTTATAAATAACTTGGTTGATGATCCCATCAGCATGAGTGATGGGACTGATGGTGATCAAAGCATCTGGGACTGGGCAGGGCCAGAGGAAGAGCTGATGGGGGGAAGCCTTTCCCTCAGCAGAGCACATTATGTCTTTCCCCTCCCCTGCACTTTGTAAGGTCCACTCAGATGTGAGGGGACCACCAGTCTTTTCTTCCACAGCTCACTGGTGCTGCCCTCCAAAAGCAGTTTTTTCTCCCTGTGCCCGTGGTGCAGGACACCCTGCAGGGTCTGTATGGGGCAGAGGGAACATACCTGGTGCTGTCCCACGCAGTTCCTGGCAGCTCTTCCAGGCAGTGGCGGTGGCACCTGCAGGCAGCAAAACACAAGTGAGAGCTGAGGTGTCAAACATTGCCCCCCAATTATCCAGTCAGCTGCCAACCTCTCACTGCCAGCCACTCACCCTGCCCGGCATGATGGGCACACCACCATGTGTCCACGGAAGGGTGGTAAAACTATGTTGAAAGCCAATAAATTCCCAGGCACTACCTGGAAGACCAGCTTAAAGCCAGCAACAGTAGGAAAGATCAAAACCCCTTTTCCAGGGTCTGAAAAGTGTTGCAAACTCTGTTACAGCATGCTTGCGTTGCCCACTACTTTTAAAGAGCTATAGTCAGTCTGCAGATATCCCTTTACTGGATTCTGCTGCAGAGTTATTTTTATTGCAGAGCTGTTTTAATACATGGCACCACTGCTCACACTACAACGCTCCAAATTATGGCTTGGATCTGACTGTGGTGAAAGGTTGGAGCTGGTTAACTGGTGGTGATTCCCAGTGCTTACTGGGCAGTTTAGCAGCAATGCCTCTGCCCTCATAGCCAGGTACATGCTTGCAAGCTTCTGGCTTCCCCTGATTATCCTGGCATCTTTCAGGATGTATTGGCCAGCGTATCCCTCAGGGATGGGGTGCCTGGATGCAGGAGAATCTTTTTAGTCTCACCAAGTCATTTCAGGGTATTCCCTACATGCCAGAGTGGGAGATATCCCCATGGAGGTAACCCCGCTCCGGTCCCAGCAAAACCAGCCACTGAAGTACCCTAAGCCCATCTGAAAGAAGTAGAAATGTGTCCCAGAGTATTAAATAGTCCTAGGTTATTCCATTGTTTGTGAGCAATGTCGGAGGCTAGATTACAGTCCTGGCTAAGCAACAGAGTATTGCCCAGCTCTGATCTGTGCCCCTATCTGAAAAGCAAATCTGTGCTGATTTCATGCCTCCCCCAATCGATGCCTTGGGACAGACATGGTTGTGCAAGTTCTCCCTGGGGGCTGAAGGACCCACAGCCAGGGCCCAACCCTCAGGGAAGATGTGGTTTCCCTCCTCCTTACCCTGCCAAAGAGGCAAGCCTTTGCTAGGAGTAGATTTTCACTCAAGCTGTGTATTTAGTATGTTGGGCAACAGTTACACACAACAAAAAAATGCTGCTATTATATTTATCTTAGTTTGCCCTTTGTTTCAGTTATATCTGTGCAAATTTCACAGGCACCCCTCTGACCCCTATTATGCATTTGGGTAACGCAAGCATCCTCCCCACGCCTTGCTCCCTGTGGCTCCTCTCAAGCTGCTCCCAGGTCAAAAACTCTGGGCAGATCCCAAATCTGAAGAGATCAAGGGGAAGAGTCGGAGACACCCAGACCAGCTCTTGCAAAATACCCTAACTGCTAAATTAAAGGGATGTGCTCAGGCAACTCATTGCTAGTACATATTTTTCCTACGGGGTTCAGCTCTCTGCCAGGACCTCTGACCACCCCCTCCAAGCCCCATAGGTGCTATATGCCAATGCGACTCATTTTTTGTTTTCCTGCTGCTGAAAGCATGCTGGGGGGCCCTGGCAGGTACACCCCACACTTTCAGCAACATGCTGGGAAGCCAGGGAGAGCCATACTCACGGGTGTCGAGAGGGCCATGCTGAGGAGGCACAGGCACAGGCACAGGCAGGTCGTTTGCATCTTGAGCAGCTCCTGGGGGCACAAAGCAAAGTGTCACTGGAGTTTGTCTTCCAGGAACTTGCTGTCTCCAACAGTCCTGGTCACCAGCAATGCAAAATCTCCTGCTGTCCCAAAACCCCCATGACAGCTGGGTTATCCAGCAACTCTGGCTTTCCTCAGCCCTTGCAGCAGCCTTTGACATTGCTCTCTCTCTGCACTCATTTCACCAAGGGCGATGTTCTCACCACATGCATACGGCAACAAGGCAGAGACACGTGCATGGGCAGCAGCACCAAGCAGACACTCTTGCCACGAGGTGTTAAATCTGCTTAACTCGCTCTGTCAAAACAGCTTGGGTGGATATTTGCAATAAATGACCACCAAAACTGCTGCAGGCTAAGCCAAACAGTCATAAGTCTGAATTAAGAATGTTGCAAGCTCTGTTTAACAGCGCTGGTAAATGGCAGGAGACAACAGCTCTTTTGGGTAGCAATTCTCATTTCATCCACCCACCCTGGTTTGGGCTTGCAGGTCCAGCCCAGGGACTATTTTCAGCCGTGCAAGCATTGCTGCAGAAAACAGCAGAAGGACATTCATGCACAAGGACCAGCAGTACAAAAGCAACATAGGCTCAAGAGAGCGCAATGCAGAGATACGCACACCTGAGGCCTGGGACTTCACCCCAACCCCATCGTGGCTTGCCCAGAGTGAAAGCAGGAGATGCCCTGTGCAGAGCTGAAAGGCTGGGGAGAGACAAGGTAGGCAAACTGGGTAAGAAGATTACCTTTCCCTGTCGGAGGCAGGTCCCAGCAGCAGACCTTGGAGACTGTGCCCACTTTGCTGAAATTTAAAGTTGGCCCCAGGAGCAAGGAGCCAATCGGCTCCTGCCCAGGGACATTTGTCAAGGCTGGCAGCGCCCGCAGATAACCAGGGGGAGTAATTTACAGCTAAAAATGTGTTTGTGGTGGAAGACAGCTATCAAATGTTCCACCTGGCTGGATAAACAGAAAGCACAGTTTATAAATATCTGTTCTGAAGGTAAAATTGCTCGATGATTAGCGCAGATCTTAACATGGCACACTTCCAGCCCAGTTATTGATAAGACGGGGGTGCAGTGGGTCACGGTGTGCTCACCATGACTGACATGGGAAAGCCATCAGGGCTGCAGAAAGGGAAGAGGGATACACTGACCCCATGGTCATAGCCCCGACCAGAACCATGGGGCAACACTGGCCAAGCTGAGAGCTGTCGCCACCACATAGCTTCTTGCTTTTTAAATTTCAACCTTAACCCCTCTGAGCTAAGCCCAATGCAAAATAGAAGAGTGGTAATAAATAATAATAAAAAAGTGGGGTTTTTTTTCGTTCACTGCTTGCACATGTCCCTTCAAATCCACCTTTGCTGTAGAAAGGTGCTATGAGGACGTGCATGATGTACATACTCTCCTCCTGCTCCGCCTCTAGTTTCAGTGGTATTGCTGATCGCCTACACATACGCCAAGGGGGGTTCCCCCTGCTGCAGCCAGCCTGGCTCAACTGCTTGCTGTAGTGATGTCAACAACGGTCCCCATCCCACCTGCCACGCTGCCCTGACCCAAACCCTGGGAGTGGGCAGGACTGCTGCATTAACACCAGAAATGCTTAACTGTCAACATCCATCCTCAGGCAGAAGCAAACCTTGGAACCGGGAGGAAACTTGTCCTTTCCCCTCAGCCAGGGACCTGCGGTCAGATGCTGCCCTGTGGGTATTGGAGCAGCCAGCTGGAGAGCCTTGGCTCAAGCAGACAGAGCTTTGGCCACGTGCCCAGGGGGGCTGACGCACACAGGACAGGGCTGGGCACCCCATGGGAGTGGGACCCAGATGCTGGCAGCTCCAGGGCCCTTTGTCTGTGCTGGCTCCCTGACGTCTTTGGGCACCCCCTGGGGATGTGGATGTTGGTGCTCTTGTTTCCCCGCTGGCTGCAAGTGTGTGCAGGGCTCCCCAACGCTTCTGTAGAGGTTTGGCCCCCCAAGGGTGCCCACCCTGCAGGCTGTAGCCCTGCTTTGGCACACAGAGGAAGTTTTGTACAGAGGCCAGCAGCTTGCTGAATAGAAATCCATTTTGTAGTTGGACCTATATTGGGAGTTGAATAGAGGTTTCCTTTCCAGGAGTGCAAGGGCAGTGCAGTACCTGCCATAACCCACGCATGAGGGGCCATCTCTTTTCCTAAATTACCTGGAACCCAGTGGGATTTAGTCCTTCCCCGTCTCTGGTGCTGATCCCCAGCTGGCTGGGGCCATGCTTCTGTGTGGAGATGACTCTGGGCAGGGATCCTGGTAACAACACTGGGCATCCCCATCCCTGATACAGGCAGCAAATGGATGCGCCACCTTGCCCTGGGGACAAGGCTGTGTGGTGGGGAGAGACGTGGACCATTTTGAATTGCAGCATCAGTGTCTAAAACACATGTCCAATATGCCCAACCTTGGTGGGACCCACATGCCTGGTGCAGGGATGTGGAAGCAAAACTTTCATTGCATGGGTGTGCATCTATGGCTAGTGACGCACAGAAAGAGAAATTAATGTCTTTATTAATATTGCCTGGTGTGTGGTCAGGCCATGGGAGGCATGCTACTGAGGAGTGGAAGACATGGTAAAGTTATCATTGCCCACATATTGCAAATTCCCATCAGCTCTACTTAAGATGTGGCAGTAATCCCAGACCAGTGACCCTAGAAAACAGCCTTCCATTTTTCAGAGGTGACTCTACAGAGGGTTCCCTAGTTAACCTTTCTGTTCATCCCTCCTTTTGTGTGCATCTAGTCTGGAATAAAGAGACTTAATCCTGAGCAGCATGAGCATCTGTAGCCCCCTCAGCCCACCAAGTGCTGTGCTGCCCTGCTGACCCCAGCAAATTTGGCAGCAAACCCTTTGTCACCAACAAGCTCAGTTCAGTTGCTTTATTTCATTTCACTTTGTAAGATAAAAAAAAAAAGGGAAAAAAAAAGCCTGGTATGGAGCCGGTGTGCACTGCAAGCTGCCTGGCGTCCCCTCTGATGCGTGGCAGCTGCAGCGAGACTTTGGATGCACGTTCCTGAGTGCGATGGGGCAGGTGGGGGGCAGCACCGGGGCTACCCCCTCACCCACTCACTGGTTGTAGTAGTAATCCTGGCCATACACATCATAGCCATGCCCCTTGTAGTAGCCATACTCATCCTCATAGGCCCGGTAGCTGTCCCCGCGGGCGTACTCGTCGTGCTCCCCATAGCTGCCGTCAGTGGTGCCCTCATCGCCCCGGCCGTGGCCCCCAGCTGTCACCTCATACTCCCACTGCTCCCCGGCTGTGGTAGCATCCGTGGGTCCCCCATCTCCCGTGGTGGTTGCCTGGGACAGCCCCTCTTCACTGGTGGTACTGGCAATGGTGGTCGCTTCAGTTTCCTCCTCCTCCTCCTCCTCCTTCTCCTCTTCCTCTTCTTCCTCTTCCTCCTCCTCTTCCTCCTCCTCCTTGGCTGTGCCCGTTCCCTCCTCAGCCACCGCAGTGCCATTGCCATGAGGTCCGTCTGCCCCCTCGGTGGTGTTGGTGCTTGTGCCATTGATGCTGTTCTCGTTCTCAGCTACCTCTTCTTCCTCCTCTTCCTCCTCCTCATTCTCGTCACTGTCTTCATTTTCAGAGTCACCCCCCTTGCCAGCAGCATGGATCCTGCCCCCTTTCAGGGTCCCTTGGCAGGCTTTGCCCTGTTGAAGGGAAAATAACACGCCATTCGTTTGGTGTCAGGATGTTGAAGCTTTTCAACATGGGGCATGCATGGGCACAGCTGAGCACTCCCCTGCACCTTGCATGGCAAGGCTGTCTTTTTGGAGTCTCCCCTCCAACCCTGGAGTTAGGTTAGTGCCCAGAGCGTGGCGTGGCCATGGGCATCTTTCACAGCACAGCCTCAAGCAGAAACAGGGTGCAGGGCATCCTATGGGGGCAAGCAGGCATCCAGTGAACATAACCCCCCTGCCCATGACTGCTCCCCTCCTAGCCCCCCAAACCACACCTGCTGGAGGGATGCGACGTCTCCTCCCAGCCCACCCTGGCTGTCCCCAGGGGCTGCTTTGTCAGGGTGGCCAGCTGCCTCGACGCCAGCATGGAATGGCTCCTGCAAGATCAGGGAGAGGACAGGGCAGGTCATCAGCAGTGGGAGCAGAGCTCAGCACTCCCAGCAGAGAGGGGGGCACGCAGCATCCCCACGTGGCATTTGGGCACCACTCCGAGTTTCTTGCTTTCCCACGGGTCTTGCCTCAGGCTGAAATCAAGAAGCTGCAGCAGGGCGGCCCGAGCCATGCAATTAAATGGTCGTGGCTGGAGTTGGGTGTTCCCATTCTGGCCACGCATTTTTCTTTACAAAGCATCTAAAAGTTTGCTTTTGAAGTTACCTCTCCCAGTTTCCAGTACACAAAGCCTGCCATGGGCACACTACATGTGGACACACTACACACCAGGTGTAGATAGCTGGTGAGAGCGCGATGGCTCAGAGTTAGGCGTGAGCCGAGACCCCACCAGCAATAAGACATCAGCAGCACTCGGACCCACCGATCACACAGTGGAGTGGGTCTCTCAGGGGGGTGCACAGCAGCCCACACTGCTAAAAGAGGCAACAAATAGCCCAAATACAAACAGAAGCTGAAGCAACCACTGAGGAACTGGTGGAGCAGGTCACTGTTCCCCCAGCCTGGGAGGAGGAGCACCTTGCCACCAGCAAATGAACCCAGCCCTGGCAGGGAGACACAGGGTCACTGCCATCCCCGCCCTGGGCAATCCCTGCTGGGGGCACACCAAGACCAAGGACGCTCACCCTGACTTTTTGGGCCGACTGAGACTCTTAAAATATGGATGCATCTGATGCCAGAGGAAGCACAGGCTGTGTTCCTCTCCACTGGAGGAGCCACCAATTGCATGGTGCAATCTGCTACGCCAATGAGAGCAATGTCCCCATCTAGCAGGGGATACAGTGGTGCTCTTTGCATACCTATAACTGACTTTGGGACCATTCATCAGGATTTATCTTGCTGACCACCCCCTGCTAGTGAAGGCATGGAGCATCCCTGCCCAGGAAATGCCACTGCTCTGGTGCCCTTGAGAAAAAAAGGGGCAGCCCCAAACAGCAGCTGCATT